GGCCATGCGCGCTACGAGTCAGCCAGCAATCACTCTCTGATCCGCTCAGCGGACGAACCGCGCGCGTCACTGCGACCCCTTCGGGGCGACCTGCGCGCGTCGCGGGGGCTCCGCCTTGCGCTGCGCCCGCAGCCTTGGTCTTTGGAGTGCGCGGGCAAAGGAGATGGAAAAAATGAGGGGAGGAAGCGAGCGCGATCCTCGTGTGTGGCGTGCCGACATGGGCGTCGCGGCGCGCGGGCGCTGCCGTCGGGGTTCCCAGGGAAGCCCCCTGCAGAGGCGACGCTCAGAGTCACGAGTACCGAGAGTCACGCAGACCCAAACTGTTCACAGTCGTATACATACATTTACACTGGGCGTATCCATGCACGCATTCATGCGAATAGAATCAATCGCGCGCAGATTCATTCATAGTCAGACTCGCTCGCGATCCGACTCGCACGCGCTCAAGCTTTCATATTCGGACCTATCGTCTTCGTTCGTGTTGTGTACACTGCCACGCATTTCGGCACACCCCTCATACGGCTCGTGGCCCCATAGGGAGCGCCACCGAAGAAGATATTCACAATTGCGGTACTCTCAACTGCATATGGTTGGGTCCTTCGCCAGGCTAATTTGGATGTAATCTTTAAGTACGATGGGAGCAGTATAAGCCAAGCGATGGAATGGGTCAAGCAGCCCCCAAGGTACGTCGGCTGGCGACAGGAGTGACCACGAACCCGTCCCGTGATGCGCGCGTGCTCAGCCCACAAGTTTGGCGAGGCACCGTGCAGGGCAAAGCTCTGGGCACCGCTAGCTACATATGCTGGCTGTGCTCGGGGTGCTCGTCCTCTTCTTCCAGACGCTTCGCGATCACCGACCGTTCCTGCGGCTCTAGATTGCCCAGCAACGCCCAAGGCGGTCCCGAAACATGTGCCCAAGACAAGCCGGACAGATCCCAAGACGTTGCCACCGGAGCCCGGAAACGGCCTCGGGCTTGCCCAGCTCAGACCGAAGACCGCCCACATCGGCGCTGGGACGACCGACCCCTCCAAAGCCAATGCCCCAGGGCAGAGGCACGCACCTGCGCGACGGAAGACAACGCGGCCGACGGCGCGGACGTTGGCGCGCACGCCGCTGCCCGTGCCGGAGCGCACGCGGGCGCCCGTGTCCACGAGGCGCGCCTCGCCAGCGGCCTGCGCAAGGTCAGGTCGCCGTGGCCTCTCGGGTATGCTTCAGTCGGGCATGTCCCCCTACGGGAGGAGTATCCGAACATGGTTCAACAAAAATAGTATGGGGACGATTGGCTCAAGTTTTGTTTTCACCGTGTTTGGTGTTTTGGTTACGCTCTCTTTCATGTGTCGTCAGAAATCCGCCTGTAGGAGGACACGCCCGACCGAAGGGTATGCCCCTTCTCCCTCGTCGCTCGCCGGGGGGTCGGGGAAGCCCGCCGCTCTCGGGGGGGGTGGGCGGGACGATGTGTTTTGTCGCGATGCAGGACAGGGGTCCTGAAGGACACGGGTCCCAGGCCCCCCGGGGGCTTTCCCGAAGGCCAGCTGATCTTAAGTCGGGCACGTCCCTCTACAGGGGGAATGTGCAAGAATAGTCCAAAAATATTATGGGGACGTCATTTCCTAACGTTGTTGGCTGTTGTTGAGTATGTTTTGAGTATGTTGTATTTTTCATCCCAAATCCGCCTGTAGGAGGACATGCCCGACCGAAAGTTGATCGTCCTGAGAGTCGTGCGTCGACGGTCCCGGGGCCCGTGGAGTTCCCAGGGGCCCGAAGTTTCAGGGAAAACCCAGAACCCTTTCTTGCATGAACCGCTGCCTTCGTGCCAAACTGTGTGCCGGGTGGGCGTCCAGCGATCGATCCAGGAGCACGTCGGAGCAGGCTTGGGTAGGAGCCCGTTTATTTATTGCTTGGGGCATGACGGGCGTCATGGCCCCGCTCCCCCCCCCTATGACGTAACGCTCCCCCCCCAGTGCGCTCCGGGCACTGCCGCCGTGCGCATTGGGATCCGCGTAGGTGTCCGCGTAGGAATCCGCACAGGTGTCTGGTTCGCAGTCGTCGTCGTCGTCGTCGTCGTCGTCGTCGTCGTCGTCGTCGTCGTCGTCGTCGTCGTCGTCCGTCGTCGTCGCTCGTGGTTCGTCGTTCGTCGCTCGTCGCTCATCGTCGTCGTGCGCGCGGACGCGGCCGGAGCCTGTTTTTAAGTCCGGGCCGATGACGGCAATCATTTGGGGGGGGGGGGTCGATGACGTCACGTTTCGCACCGGCGGCGTCTGGGAATGCTTAGGAATGACGGAGGACGGGTAACACGAACATGTAGGTGGTGATAAGCACCACAACGCCTGTGTACATCAGAGTGCCCGCGTGCACCACAGCGCCTGTGTACACCACGCCGCCGATGTACACCATAGCAGCCGCGTGCAACCCAGCGTCAGTTTGTGCCACCGTGCCTGCGGGCACAGCAGCTCCTGTGTACACCACAGCGCTTCCGTACACCACATCAGCCGTGCGCAACACAGCACCAGTGTACATACGCCACGGCGCGTGTGTGCACCACATCAGCCGTGTGCAACACAGCACAATTGCTGTGTATAGAATTTCAGAAGGAATCCTTGTGACAAAATGGAGCGCGTGTGGATTCCAGAGAAATCAATGGAAAACAAATCGTCATGGACGAAGAAACGCCGCTGGAATCTACAAGTCCCCCCGAGTCCGCCCGCATCACCCAAATTCCCATTTGCGTCCAGGAGGCTCCAGCTAAACTGGCCGTCCGAGAACCAAGTGGACCGATTCAATCGACCATTCAGCGGTGCACGCTGAGATGCGCACGTGCGCTGTAACGCCAAACCGCACGACAGGGGGTAAAGAGGAAAATGAGGAGGAGGAGGAGGTGGAGGAGGAAGAGGAGGAGGAGGGAGGAGGGAAAAACGTCGCATTCGATTATCAGAACTTTCCTGGCGTGGCGTTTAGTTGTCTGCAGCAGATCCTGACGTACATGCTCCTTCTACCTGTCCAATGCACGCAGGCGCTGTGTTGTACACCAGCGCTGCGTTGCACGCGGATGCTGTGGTGTAGACAGGCGCTGTGGCGTGCACGGGCGCTGCGGTGCACGCGAGCACAGTGGTGTACACAGGCGTTGTGTTGCACATGGCTGCTGCGGTGTATGTGCACCAGCGCTGTAGTGCTCCCAAGTATTGTGGTATTCGCGGGCGGTGCGTTGCACACGGCTGTTGCGGTGTACGCAGGCGCTGTGGTGCACGCGCGGCGTGGTGCACGCGAGCGTTGTGGTGTACACAGGCGCAATGGGCAGATCGCCACTTACATGCTGCTCGCGTCGTCGCTCGTCGCTGGTCGCTCGTCGCGTCGTGCGCGCGGGCGCGGCTGTGGTGCCAGAACCACACAGCGGGGGGGGGGCGTCACGTCACACACGCCCCCCCCCCCGCCCTCCCCCCCCCCATGACGCGCGACATCGCCGAACATAAAGCAACGCGCTCCAGTTTTGGCGGCATCCTGGAGCGGCACCCCAGACATTTTCGGTCTGGAAAAAAACAAAAACATAGAGGCGGAGGTTGTTCGCTATTTTCGGCCTCTGGGCGCCGTTCTCGAGATCGGGGACCTTCCAGAAAGTTCCGTGGCGAAAAGGATGCCTTGAGGAAGCGGTCGATGGCTCCATAAACCCCGCATGGAACAAGCCATTACAAGCTGGGGCTTACGCTGGGCGCATTTTCGCACAGACGAGGAGCCCAGCTCCGCACTGGTGCGCACGGTTGGGTGCAAGTAGTGAGCACTACATCCAAGCTAACACGCCGTTGGCCCGTCCCTTGGGCCCTCGAATGTGTTCGGCAAGCGCCACTAGAATTGACGATATGCCACATGATGCGCCCAAGAAAAGAGAGATCAATAGAACATCTGGCAGGGGCGATAACCAATTGTAGATCAGCGACAGCAAGGGCTAGTGAATATCGGAAGCGTTTTCTTATTCTGTCGCTGTTGTTGGCTCTCAGCCATGTCTCTGTCTCAACTCAACAGAAGGGAGCACGGCGCAGTTCGTGGAGTTGAATGGCCCTGTTGTTCCGATTTATGTGCCCTGCTTGATGGCCGCATCTTTGCGCAAGGAGTTTGCCACTGAGGGTCATTGGCTCTGTGTCACTCCTCGGGGGACGGCAAGCGTGAAGCTGGCGTGAAGTTGGCTGGTGTCGCAAGAGTGTCGCTTGTCTGGCGTCACCCCAAAATACTAATACTATGTGTGCGTCGCCCCCTGGGGGCGACGCGCGCGCCGAGAAATCTTATAGCATACGATTCGTGGCGGGCGCTTTCTGGCCATACCGCTCGGGAAACGATGCTCTACAACATGGTTATACTATATGTTCGGGTCGAACGCACGCCTCACAAAATGATCTCCCAAGGGTGCCCCTGCATCCCTGCCTGTTCGGTCATCTGTGGTCCATCCTCAACCACTTGCGATGGCCAGCCCCGCCCGAAGAGCCTCGGCATGGGCGTCCAAGGCCTTTGCATCCTTACCGCACATCGTTATGATACGGGTCGACTGTATACTACGAGACATTTGTGCTGAATGCTCGCTTCGGAGAGGCGCCTCCAACAGACACTTTTTGTTGACGGGCAGGCTCGGGCGACCTTTGCAGCCGCAGGCGCCAGGCCTGCAGCACGAACACCTAGTGCGCAGCACCCCGCAGTGGCGGATCAGAGTGAGGGGGCGGGCGAGGGGTGTGTCGCGGGTGGGTCGCGGGGTGGGTCGTGGGTGGGTCGGGAGGGGTCGTTGGCGAAGACGACGACAACAGCGCCACAACATCAACGACAACAAGAGCATCACCGTCAACAACAACGAGCAGAATCTGCGCCGCGGAGTCCCACTCCGGCCACGCACCAGGGGACCCTGCATGACCGTTCGGCATCCTCACTCCGATCAGCAGATCCTTCTGTGCCCCACTCCATGCCGAAGCGGGCCCGCGCCCGCCGGGCCGGCCGCGCGCGGCCCGGCCGCCCCCCGCGCCCAGGCCCCGTGCTGCCTCGCGCTCGCGGGCGGCGCCGGGGGCGAGATGCGCCTCCGACCGCAGGGGGCAGGAGGAGGGGAGGCGGGGAAGAAGCGAGGCTCATCCTCCACCTCCCCCTCCTCCTGCCGCTCCCTCTCCTCCGCCTCCTCCTCCTCCTCCTCCTCCTCCTCCTCTCCCTCCTCCTCCTCCTCCTCTAAGAGAGAGAGAGAGAGAGACAGAGAGAGAGAGAGAACCCTTTCCCCTGATCACGCGTACAGGCTGGCTGCCCAGGAGGCCAGAAGCTGGGATCTACATCTTTCTAGCGGCCCATCGCCCTCATATGGGCAATGCGGGTTGCGACAAGCTTGCCGACGGAGATTGTTCTTCGTTTTTTCAGCAAGATAGGCTTTGTTCCCTACCTAGGCTCTGCCTAGAAGGGTTCTTACTTTCTTTGCTTAAAGGGGCCGGGCAGAGGAACCCGCCCCGGGCGGTTCCCCCGGTCCCCTGGGAGCCAAGCAAAAGCAACATCAAAGGTAAAAGCAAACGCGCGTTTCCCCAGTTGCGCTCCGTGGGTGCCAAGCAAAAGCAAAAGCAAAGGCAAAAGTGAAGGCAAAAGCGAAGACAAAGCAAACACATATTATAGCATAGCATAGCATAGCATAGCGCAGCATAGCATAGCGCAGCATAACATAGCATAGCATAGCATAGCATAGCGTAGCGTAGCATAGCATATCATAGCATAGCATAGCGCAGCACAGCATCTACTACCGCTACTACTACTACCGCTACTGCTACTGCCACAACTACGACGATGATGAGAAGGAGGAGGACGGTGTTTACCGCTCCTACTAATGTTGCTTTCCTGGAGGCTCCAACTCCTAGGTAGGGTCGCACTGGGATAATTTGTTTTGCTCTGGGGATAACACGTGTTACCCCCCCCCCCCCCAGACCCCTTATAGATCACCCAAAGAAGGGCTACCCTACGTAGGGCTACCCTAGGGGTCGTCGTCGTCCTCCTCCTCCTCCTCTTCCACTTCCACTCCGCCACAAAGGGCATCAATGTGTAATCCGCCACACAAGCAAGCAATGCCTTTAATGTCCCGCCCGCCCGCCCGACGGAAGGAATCGGCTTGTAATCCGCCGCGATAGTAATCAACTTGTAATCCGCTGCCAAATGGAATCACTTTGTAATCCGCCACCAAAGCAATCAATGCATTTAATGTCCCGCCCGCCCGCCCGACCAAAGGAATAAATTTGTAATCCGCTGCCAAAGGGAGTACATTTATAATTCACCACACAAGCAATCATTGCCTTTAATGTCCCGCCCGCCCGCCCGACAAAAGGAATACATGTGCAATCTGCCACACTAAGAATCCGTTTGCCATCCGCCACACAAGCAATCCATGCCTTTATTGTTCCGCCCGCCCGCCCGACAACAATAATCAGTTGATAATCCACCACAAAGGGAATCTACTCGTAATACGTTACCGACGGGAAGCAATGGGTAATCCACCACACAAGCAATCAATGCCTTTAATGTCCCGCCCGCCCGCCTGACTAAAGGCATCAATTTGCAATCCGCTACCAAAGGGAATCAACATGTAATCCGCCACCAAAGCAATCACTGCATTTAATGTCCCGCCCGCTCGCCCGACCAAAGGAATCAGTTTGTAATCCGCAATAAAAGGGCTACCCCTAGGGCCTCCCCCTAGGGCCACCCTAGGGCTACCCCTAGGGCCTACCCCTAGGGCTACCCTAGGGCTACCCCTAGGGCCTCCCCCTAGGGCTACCCTAGGGCTACCGCTAGGGCCTACCCCTAGGGCCTCCCCCTAGGGCCTACCCCTAGGGCCTACCCCTAGGGCCTACCCCTAGGGCTACCCTAGGGCTACCCCTAGGGCCTACCCCAAGGGCTACCCTAGGGCTACCCTAGGGTGTCCAGTAGGGCCTACCCTTGGGTAGGCTAGGGCCTTCAGTAGGGCCTACCCTTGGGAAGCCTAGGGCCTTGAGTAGGGCCTACCCTTGGGAAGCCTAGGGCCTTGAGTAGGGCCTACCCTTGGGAAGCCTAGGGCCTTCAGTAGGGCCTACCCTTGGGAAGCCTAGGGCCTTCAGTAGGGCCTACCCTTGGGAAGCCTAGGGTCGGTAGAAGGGCCTACGGTAGCCAAGGCCCCCGGTGATCTATACCCCAGACCCCCACCCCCCAGAACGGGAACGCCTGGGAACTGGCCACGCTTGAACTTTTGCAGCTTACATGGGACATTCTAGGTATCCTTATCAGGACGAGGAGGAGGGGGAAGGGGAGGTGAGGAGGAGAAGGAGAAGGAGGAGGAGGAAGAGCACGACGACGACGACCACTGACGTCGCCCGAAGGCTTCCGAAGGTGCACAGGCATTGTCGTCATCGTCGGCATCGTCGTCGTTGTATCGTCGTCATCGTCGTCGCGTTCCTCCTCTTCTCGTCCTCGTCTTCTTCTCTATATTACAAGGTTTTGCACGCAAGTGCTGTGGTCTCGAGGTCTCGACAGACGCTGTGCTGTGGTGCGAAAAAAACGCCCTGGTGCACGCAGGCACTGGTTTACGGCCACGTTGTGGTGCACACGGCTGATGTGATGTGCGCGGGCGCCGTGGTGTACGAGAGCGATCCAGTGCACGCAGGCACTGTGGTGTGCAATGGCGGTGTTTCGCACGCGGGTGTTCGGGTGCACAGGAGCGCTATTGTGTACACAGGCGGTGTGGCGACATGGTGCGCACAGGTGCTACGTAGGCTGAACAGACTCATTGTGGTGTACAGAGGCGCTGTGGTGCACGCAGGCGTTGTCGTAAGCACGGCTATGTTTGCTTCTATATAACGGGCGCGCCTTCGGGGGTGCACGCCAGCTGTCGTTACCGTCCCCCCCCCGCCGACCCCCCCGTGGGTAACACGTGTTACCCCCAATGGATACAAGAGCGATCTCGCGCGAGCTTTGCATCACGCGCAGCTCCGCACCTCACGCCTAAGGGAAAGTGGCTCGCCACGTGTCAGGGCGACCATTCGAAAGGAGTGACTTTTCGAGCAGGCCCTCGAGCTGTACAAGATGGGGTCCATGCAAGCAGAAATCGGCCAGACTGGCCAGAGCGCCAGATTCTGTTGGATCCTGCAGAGCAAGGGGTGCGTTGTCTAGCGCGCCGGACCCTCTTGGATCCTGCAACGCCCGACTGACCTTGGGGACACCACAAGGTAATTACCTATACGGCTACTCCCCGGACCTCTCTTGGGGTGCGTTCTGACGATGCTTTCGAGGCGAATCCAGCGGTGGTGACGACGGAGGCCCAGGATGCCGATGGCCAAAAAGGGAAATTCGAGGGGAGGGCTAGAGGTATGGGCACCTTTGCCTCGTCTGAGACCTGGGTGTGCATTGGCCCAGGTGAGTAGATCCCCGAGGCCCACTGGGATCCCCGGGTCATCGACTGCGATGCGGCAGCAGCGGCTTGCCCGCGCCCCCCTCCCCCCCCCCGAAGGCGGCGCACCAAAGGTTAAGCGCGAAGGACCTTCTGTTGTGGTTACCCCCCCTCCCCTTTTCACACGGCGGTGAATACAACTGGTCCTAAAACCTCCTCTGCCTCCTCTTTCCCTCCTTCTCCTCCTCCTCCTCCTCCTCCTCCTCTTCCTTCTCCTCCTCCTCCGCCTCATCCTCCTCTCCCCCTCCTCCCCTTCCGCCTCCTCCTCCTTCTCTCCTCCTCCTCCTCCTCCTCCCTCCTCTCCTCCTCCTCCTCCTCGTCTTCCCCCTCCTCCTCCTCCTCCTCCTCCTCCTCCTCTCCTCCTCCTCCTCCTCCTCCTCCTCTTCCTCCTCCCTCCTCCTCTCCTCCTCCTCCTCCTCCTCCTCCTCCTCCTCCTCCTCCCTCCTCTCCCCTCCGTAGCAATTTTGGCTCAAGCCCTTTCGTCCGAGGAGGTTGAGGGGGGCGCGATTCGAAGGGGCGCAGCCCTCCCGAGCCACGCATGCCATGGGCCGACGGCGCGTGGGCGGCCTCCACGAAGGCGGCCACGGCCCCGTGACGCAGCAGGCCGCCGCCCCTCGCGCAGCACGCGCGGGACCTTCAGCTCGTGGAGGCGGCGGTCGGTGCGGCGGTGTCGGCGGCAGCGCGGGCGTTGGCGGAGCACTCCCAGCTGACGACGCCCATTTCATCCGAGGCGCGTCCGACCCCCCCGACGCCGAGGCCAAGTCGGGCGCCGCAGCTGGCGATTGCGGACGGCACGCCGTCGCCCCCGCCGGGCGACTGGGCCCCCCGGTCCCAGCACGTGTTGAGGACGCCTACGAGTCGCAGCCGTTCTTCTACGGCAGGGCGGGCCCGGGGCACTACGCGGCGCTCGTCGCGCTCGCGCAGCAGGCCGGAGCGTCGGGAGAATAGGCAGGAAAAGAAGGACAAGGCCCCGCCGCAGGACCGGGGGGGGGGGCTCGCCCGTCGGAGTTGGGCTCAGTCAGCCGTCAGGCCGAGGAATTTTCAGAGCACCCGCCACGGTGGGCAAGCCGTGCTGCCTGGGCCCACCCGCTCCGCTAGGGTGTACAGAGTGGTCAATGGCACCTCCTGGTCTGAGGTGAGAGTTGCCGATGACGTTCGCGGAGGCAACGCCCCCCACCATCCCGCTGCCGCGCACTCCCCTGTGCTGGCCGGGGTCGTGGGGGCCCTCCCCCTCCCCCCTAATTCGGTGCAGGTGGCCTATCCTGGGCACGGCGCCTCGGCGCTATGGGCGCTCGGTCAGCGCGCGCCGGACAAAAAAGTTGGGCTCGGTCACGAGGCGGGACAGGAAATAGGAGAAGCAGAGGAGGCGTCGCAGGAGCCGCAGTCCCAACGAGGTATGCTAGGCACCATCGGCCTCCTCGACAGCGAGAGATCGAGGAGGAGAGCTTCCAGAAGTTCGGCAGCACCGAGGATCAGGTCATCCATCTGGCGGAGGTCCCGGTGCTTCCGCGGCTGGGGTAGTCGCAGAAGCTGGAGCACAGCAAGACGGAAGATCCAGAGCTCTCGCGGCCGCAGCAGTCGCAGAATGGGCCTCGCGACGCAGGAGAAGCACTGCGCGGTCGCGGGCGTCAGGC